GTATAAGTTTCATTATCCAGCTGTCTGATCATCTAAGTGGCCTTGGCAGTCCAGTTCTTCCCTGTCCATCCGGGCGTGTTGGGTGTTGCTGTGGGGGGTGTTGGGTTGTGTTGCTGTGGGGGGTGTTGGGGTGTTGTGTTGCTGTGGGGGGTGTTGGGGTGTTGTGTTGTTGTGGGGGGTGTTGTGTTGTTGTGGGGGGTGTTGGGGTGTTGCTGTGGGGGGTGTTGGGGTGTTGTGTTGCTGTGGGGGGTGTTGGGGTGTTGCTGTGGGGGGTGTTGGGGTGTTGCTGTGGGGGGTGTTGGGTGTTGCTGTGGGGTTGGGGTGTTGCTGTGGGGTTGGGGTGTTGCTGTGGGGTTGGGGTGTTGCTGTGGGGTTGGGGTGTTGCTGGGGGGTGTTGGGGTGTTGTGTTGCTGTGGGGGCGGTGTTTGTCTGGAAGGCGGTGAGCGAGCGGAGCGAGTGAGTGAGTGAGGTGCGCCTGCGCGGGCGGCCATCTTGTGAGTCAGTCAGTCAGTCAGTCGGTCGGTCAGTCAGGCGGAGGGTCGGTCAGCAGATCAGATCGGAGCCGCCACACGGGCCGGAGCTCAGCTCTCGTTGTCTCCTTCTCCCTCCCAGTCAGGCAGAGCCTCTCCTTAGTTTTTTTTCTTCCGTCTTTTTTCCCCCCGACTCCCCCCCCTCCCCCCTTCCCCCATCCTCCTCCTCCTCCGCCGCCGCCTCCGCCGCCGTCGCCGCGCACAGCCCCGACCGAGGTCAGACGACAGAGTAATGGGCGACCGAGAGCGTAGAGGCCGCGGCTCCCTCACCCTCACGCCTCTGTCCGGCCTCGTCCTCTCGTCTTGACATGGGCGGGGAGTGAAGTCGAGCTTCGCGGAGAGAGAGGGCGTTTGTTTGCTTTTGTTTTTGTGTTTGTGTGTGTGTGTGTGTTTTTTAAAAAAAACGCTTTTTTTTTTCGCGTTGAGAAGCCCAATTGAGGTTTTTTTTTCTCTCTCTCGTTTCTGTCGGTGGCAGTGAGAGAGGGTGTGGAGGAAAGAGGAATAGACACACACACACACACGCACACACATGTAGATGTATGTGTGTGTGTATGTATGTAGAGAGAGAGAGAGAGAGAGAGAGGAAAAAGTCAGGAGGGTTTTAAACCAAACACTCTCAGACTAGAGCAGAGCAAAGAGGCTTCAAGAGACAAACCTACCGACAGGAGAAGCAACTAAACCCCCCAAAGCTCCTGAGCCAGAGAGAGAGGGAGAGAGAGAGAGAGAGAGAGGGAGGAGTGGGGGTGGGGGGAGGACAAAAAAAAAAGGGGGTCGAAGGGAGAAGAGGAAAATGATAAACAAGTGATTGTGATTGTTTTGGTTTTTGTTTCCCCGTCTCTTCCTCCGTGCGGGAAATGTCAGCAAACGTGACGAGGACTGGCCACCATGGCGGTGATGTTGATTGAGGCCGCCACTCGGAGGGCGACGACGATGCTGATAAAGTTAGGCATGCCTTTCGCTAGGTTTTTCGTTCGTTTCTGCTCAAGTGCCAACGAAAAGCGCCATGTAGTTAACGCGACAGCGCAGTCCTCCTCTTCTCTCCCTTTTATCGTCTGTCCTTAGAAAAAAAAAGTTAACTTCAAGTAAAGCAAGAGGCGTAAAGAAAAATCCTAACAATATGTTCGAAGATAGCCGCTTGAGAGGTTGTAGGTAGAGATTTTTTTCAGGCTAACTTTTGTTCAGTCGAAAAAAGCCTAGCTTATATGTAAACATGGGATCTGGCTGCATCATTTCTGTGTCATCTTTGGACACGCACGAATTACAGTTAGGTGTTTAATTTGTTGGTTAGATTCATTGGCATCCATCATTGTAAAGTAGCTTTAGTTCAACGGGTTAAAATCTAGCCTTAATTTGGATTGCTTTGGTTTGTAGGTTTAGTTAATGTGAATTAGTAAAACAAAATCTAATTCCCTACACTCCCATTAAACCATGTGTATATAGGACTGTTATCATGACTGGACTCTGGCCTACATTCATTCTAAGTTTTTGCACAAGACAGTTTTAGGCTTTCTGGTCTAGCAGTTGTGGTAGAAAAATTAAGTTAATACTGCCAGCTTGTTTATTCTGTTGCGCTGTTTTCTTTTTGAGAGAAATTGCCCTTGCTAGGTTTTGTCAGTTTCTAAGATAGAAAGAGGGTTACCACTTATAATTAAAAAAATGGGAGACCCACATTCTCGGAAGAACCAGACTTTGAATCGACTGCGTGCTCAACTTCGAAAGAAAAAAGAATCTCTGGCAGATCAGTTTGACTTCAAGATGTACATTGCCTTTGTATTCAAAGATAAGGTAGGTATTTTAACTTGTCAGTGTTGTCATTTTTTTTNGTCAGCCGGATGTCAGTGATATATATGGGAACCCATTGCCATGTTTAAGAGTATCCATACAGCACAATTGTGGCATGCAGCCTCACCTTTCTGTTCCCTTTTCAGGCAAAAAGATTAATAGCGAAAATGGAAGCGCATGGTGTCAGAGGTAACCTTGTGACATGGCTTGGTAATTGGATGGGAGATAGGAAACAAATTATTATAGGAAACAAAGAGTAAGGATAAAGGGAATGTTCTCTTGATTGGCGGGACTTTACAAGTGGTATCCCCCAGGGGTCTACTGGGACCCCAGCTATTCGCCATATATATAAATGACTTGGATGAAGGAATAGAAAGTTTTATATCTAAATTTGCAGACTGCACTAAACTAAGAGGCTCAGTAAGTTGTGTAGATAGGAGTAGGAAGTTACAAAGGGACTTAGACAGGTTAAGTGAGTGGGCAAAGCTGTGGCAGATGAAGTTCAATGTAGGGAAGTGCGAGGTCATCCACTATGGACCGAAAAAAGATGAAGCAGAATATTTTTTTAATGGGGAGAAATGAAGAACTGTGGAGGAGCAAAGAGATTTGGGTGTCCATATCCACAAATCACTAAAAACTAGTTCTGAGGTGCAAAAAGTAATCAAAAAGGCGAATGGAATGTTGGCTTTTATCTCAAAGGGCCTGAAATACAAAGGGGACGAAATGATGCTTCAGCTGTACAGAGCGTCAGTCAGACCTCATCTGGAGACTGCGTTCAGTTTTGGGCACCACACCTCAGGAAAGATATATTGGCCCTGGAGGGGGTGCAGCACAGGTTCACCAGAATGTTACCAGGCCTAAAAGGGTTAAGTTATGAGGAAAGGCTGCGTAAACTTGGATTATATTTCCTTGAGTTTAGAAGGTTGAGGGGTGATTTGATTGAGGTGTTTAAGATGATAAAGGGATTTGATAGGGTAGATACAGAGAAGCTATTTCCTCTGGTGGGGGAATCCAAAACAAGGGGGCATAGTCTTAAAATTAGAACCAGGCCATTTAAGATTGAAACCAGGAAGCATTTTTTCCACTCAAAGGGTGGTAAGAAACCTTGAATTCTCTCCCCCAAAAGGCCATGAGCGCTGGATCCATCCACACCGTCAAGAGTGAGGTTGATAGATTTTTGGTAGGTCAGGGTATTAAGGGATATGGGGAGAAAGCGGGAAATTGGAATTGAAAGGATTAGTTGAGGTTCAGATCAGCCATAATCCAATTAAATGGCAGGACAGGCTCAAAGGACTGAATGGCCTCCTCCTGTTCCTATGACACATCTCATGGCTCATAATACTGAACTTGAAATGCCAGTAGGCCATGTGGCCTGTCTGCTTTCATCACAGGGGATAATTCTTATTTTTGGTTCTTTCACCAGAAACTATACAGAGGTTTGTTTAAGTGATTAAGATACTCTATTACCAAGGGTTTAAGTTCTTCTTGAATTGTGCGTTGTTCTAGGACTCTGCAGAATATTCTTTGCTCCCAATTTATATTATTGGTAAACCTATGTGAACTTTAACCTGTGAGAGACATCCTTTTATGTTGGGTGGCGTTCAATTATAGGCACTTCTGAAGAAATGTTCACAATTTACATAAACAGAGCGACTCTTATGACCTAGAACTGAGCTTTTTTGGGTAAAGTAGGAATCATAATTGAGAACTGAAGTTTGAAGAACTTGTCTCTGATCCCATGATGCAGAACCTGAGAAACCTCTGGCTTTCCGAATGAAAGCTGTTCAAGTGCAGAAAGAAGAATTTTTTGCAAACTTCTAAATTATTCTTTTTGATTGTGGGACACTCAACAACAACAACATACATTATATTTCAGGAATGTCTACAAATATTAAAATGTGGCATCTGAAAATAATTCTGTTTTTACATTGCTAATGTTTTTAAGGGGGCAAACCTATCTCTGGAAACAACTAGTGTGTAATACTCGAGATATCTGATTCCAAATCTGACTTCAGTCAAATCACCACCAACAATCTTGACTTGATAATGAGAAGGCCTAGATAGTGAATAGGCCTAGTGATATCCCGTGCCTGCCCTGAAGAACCTTGATATCATTGCACGAGTATTGCTATCTTCAGCTTTTTGGGGGATCTTCACTGCACCAAAAGCTATAGTAGAACTGCAGAAGAAGCTACGACAACAACTTGCATTTATAAAGCTGGAAGCAAAGTAATCTGAAGTGCACTTCTGAGGCTGAGCTCCATTTTCGTAGTGATTAATCCCCCTCTCTCCCCAATGATTTATTACATGTGCTTTATCCCATAAACTTACTTTAACCGATGTATAGAAGTTTCAGAACTAAAGAGGACTATTTAACGCTTTGTCTATTCCATTTTACCTAATACTCAGTTTTTATCTTTTTCTAAAAAAAGTCATCCTTTTTTCCATTAATACCATTCTTCCTCATATCACTTCATGTTTTTGCTGCTTGTATTTAACCTATTCCCCCTTCAACAATGCTATTGATCCAGTCTTAATAGCCACTAATAGTAATCAATTCCAAAAAAAAGTCTTGACTGAAGGAATTCCTTCTACCCCCTCACCTAATTTATCTAACAATCCCCAAATAATGCTCCCTTGTCACCAATTCTCCTATTAAAAGAATATTCTCCTCTATCTATCCTGTTATGCTCCTTCAATATTACTTGTATATCCCCTCATAATCTCCTCCAGTTGGAAAAGCCACAATTTTGCCAATCTCTCTTCAAACATATATTGTCTCATACCTGTTATCCTAGTGAATCTATACTACTTCCTCTTTATCAATGACATCTTCTGCAATGGGGAGCACAACACTGAATATAGTATTTCATCTGCAGTGTCCAATTCTCTGCTTTATATTCAATACTGTTTTTTATAAATCTCAACTCGATTTAAAAAAATCCCAGAATGCTATGGTTTTATAACTTACCTTGAGTTGTGAATATACCATTGGCTGGTGTTTTGAAGACACATTTGTTAATTTAACACAGTTCAAATAATTGCCATGATCATTGTGTCTTGTTTTTCTTCAGATTCTCTTTTAATCCTTCTAACTTGTTTGATTCACTGTTTTCATCTCATAATAAGGGTGACTTAGTAATATTGGCGATATGAAGCATTCTTAACTTCTTTATTAGCTGCAGAGTTCTTTGATGCAAAAGTACAAATGCATAATAATCATCCTTGCATTTGATATATTGCCTTTCACTTCAGGAGGATGTCTCAATGGAGAGCTTCACAGGATTTGCTGTAGTGACTATGCATTCTGTAGGTGACTACAGCAGCCAAATTGCACAAGTAATGCTCCCTGTACATGAGTGCTGCTTGTACCTTGTACAGTGGATCAACAATTTTCTGTCACATAAGGAATCTCATGATGGATAATCAAAAGTCCTTTGTATGCCGATGATAGCTGGGTGATGAATAGTGGAAGTGTTTGGGAGGTGAATACATTGCATTCTTGATTGACTGATTTTTCAGAAAAGTGTATGCCAGAGTGTCGATAATTTGATGGTCTGTTGTAGATGTATTCAAGTCACCATGAGTGTTAATGCCCAGGATTTTGTGTTTTGTTTCACACTAATTTCTAATTCATAAAACGGATGAGCATGATTGATCATAATACAGACAGATTAATTTATATTTAATAATTCATCTCCCTCCCACCCCCACAAATGTGAAAAAAACCAGAAAATTATTTTGTAAAAACTGCATAGATAACACTCAAATATTTGTGCTGGAGTTTCTTCAAACAGTTAATGAATTTTAATGATTCCTATTTTTTTGCAGATACAGATTTTAGGAAGCAACCCACTTTGGATAAACTTCTGTTTTTAGTCCAAACAAATTGTTGTTAATATTTGATGACCATCTTGAAATGTACAGTCTTAATTGTGAATATGCCAGGGCTGCAGATACATAAAAGAAATGTCTGCTTATAGATTCTTTTGATATTCTTTAAAAAACAGATAATGCAGTGTATGAGAATAATTGTCTCTGCAGAATCACCTTGAAACTAAAAATGAGGAACTTATTGCAGGGGAATAAGTGTTTTAGTATTTTCCAATAACACACCATCATCACGTATACCAATGAAAAAGCTGTTGATTTATTGGAACTGCCTTGGGAGTTTTTACAATTTGTACCACTTTAGCAGATTTAAATACTGTACTCATGATGTCAGTCATGATTATTAAAATAGGAAACTTGGAAAAACTTGCAGGAGAATGTTTCTATCTAGTTGTATTAATATGCTCAGCAAAGAATTGCTCACTATGCTTTGTTTATGTGCCTTCAATCTAGTGCCTTATCGTGTCTCCGAGACATCTCAAAATACTTCACGGGATATACTGTAAAGTGGAGTGACTGTATTTTGTGAGCGAAATACTCATGCTTATTGCTGCCTTGTACTTTTTGACAAACGGGTGCCACTCTATTACCAAACCACTTTAGTTCAGATTTTCAGAATTTGTGCCCAAGTTATATAGTGCTGTGGTCAGGATGTGCCTGGACTACTACGCATAGTTATTGTCATCCCAACATAAGGAGGTGGCTCTGGCTCAAGAAGCAGTGTAGAGCAGATAATATGGATGCTTTCCAGTATTAGAGAAATTAATTATGAAAATTACTAAATAAGATCAGATTCTATAGCCTAACAAAGTGAGCGTGTGTCTGCGTGTGTGGGGGTGGTAGTAATAGTGCAGTTAACGTGTGGAATGGATTACCAAGAAGGATGGTGGGTGGGAAATTGCTTGATGCTGTAATACGAGGACAATAGGGTGGGCTTTCTTGAAGGAAAAGATCAAGTAGGTCATTGATAAGTCTTTGTGAGTCACTGAGCTGATGTCAGAAATAAGAGTGCATAAAGCAACTGCATTAAGTGGCATAAATTAGAGGTTAACCAATGTGATCTCCGGTAAACAGATCATCTCCACAGATCAGGATAGTTTATGGTCATAGATCCTTATTGGTAGGCAACAGAACTAAGAGACTGGAGAACTTAACTTTCATCTTTGAGTGGAGACTCGATGGTGTTTTTTCTGGGATGACAATGTAAAGTGAAATCTCAAATGTATATTTAGGTAGCATTTAATACAGTGACAGAAAAGAGGAACTATTTTTCTTCCATTACCCCCTATTTAAGGAAACTGCACTGCATCTTCTGGTGTCATATAAAAGCCCTAGTACTATAGAAGTCAGTGATCTGTTTTACTCTCTGTTTTAGTTCTTGCACATTATTATTTGTATTATTTGATTCTATTGCAGGATTCCCAGGTAAAGATGATAATAATCCTTGCATTTGATATAGCACCTTAGCACGCGTTTGAGACATCTCAAAGTGCTTTACAGAATATGCTGTAAAGAGAATTTAACTGTATTTTGTGGACAAATCAGATAATCCAAAATAAAACTTCTCTACATCATTTATGCAGACTTTAATTATCCTATTTGATAACATCTGCAAATGAACCTAAATGCCATTATTTTGAAAAGACAGAGACTTGGAGCTGTTTGTCGGACATTGCTGTGCGCAAATTCCAAGTTTGCCTACAAAATAGTCATTGCACTATGCAGTAAATCGCTTGAGGGGCTTTGAGACATCACCAGACATGAACACACTGTTATCAAATGTGAAGATTATTGTTGAGATTCTGCTGGCCTGGGGTTTATGTCCAGATGTAAAACACAAAAACATATCTCAAATGTTTCACGCCTTAGCAACATACGAGTTGATCTTGTCTACTTTTCTCCTAACAAATTCTTGATTAGATTTGAATTTTTTTTAAAGCACTTTTAAATGCAAGCTGTTGTTTTCATTTTGCCCATTAACTGAAATTTGGTTCATTGAAGTTAAATTATACTTTTCTCAATTTAATATTTTGTGGCGAATATGTTCTGCTTCCGATCTTTATTCCTTTTGGAAATAATTTGACTGGAAACTCTCTCTGTCCATTCAGTTCTCTGTCATGCATTTATCATTCGAATGGCTTAATTGAATAACTTAATTGTTTCATTAGATTTTAACATCGACTCCATTAAACCAACATGCCCTAAAGATTTTGTTAGTAATATAAGATCGCATTGAACTGTTAGCCTCAAATTATGTGCTAAACATTTAATTCAGGCCCAGTGCTCAGCAAAAGTGGAAGTTTCTTGTATAGAGAATGCTTTCTTTGCTCTGACTGTCTCCAAATTAATATTAAAAAACTGCAGCTCTATTGGATTAATCATTGAATTGAAAAATTAATAAAGTGTTGAAATTTTGTTGTGGGCTTGAAATATCAACTGAGGTGTTTCCCATATGTTTGTAATATTCAATGCTATAGATTTGTGGAGACAAAATATTTCTTTAATATGGAAAGTTATTCAGTCCTATGGCTTCCAAGAATGCAGTATTGCCTTTTTTGATGCACTTTTCCTTTTTTTAAAAGAAGAAAAAGTCGGCACTATTTGAAGTGGCTGAAGTGGTACCGGTTATGACGAATAACTATGAAGAAAATATTCTCAAAGGAGTACGGGAGTCAAGCTACTCCTTGGAAAGTTCCATAGAGCTGCTGCAAAAGGATGTTGTGCAGCTTCATGCACCTCGCTATCAGTCCATGCGCAGGGTAAGTAGGATGGGGCTTTCTGTTTCACTAGCACAACAAACCCACAAGTGAGCAGCAATTCACCTTCATTTTAAATTGTCGCTTGAATAGCCATTTTTTGTAGCATGCAAGAAGTTAATACTAGTTTTCTAACATTTTTTTTCATTGTTTGTGAAACTGCTGGAAGGTTCAGGGAAATGACGGCCTCCATGTGCACTAAAACAAATGGTAATATTACAGATTAAGCAAAATGTGAACGGTGTATTTACTGTAATTAATAGAGTATAAAAATCAACCCTTAATATTTAAAATGTTAACCAATCTTCAAATTTAAAATGGGCCATGAATTACTACCTTCCACCACCTCCGCGACTTCGTTTTGCTCTGCCACTACCACTCCCCTCAGTTTACCAGGAAGTCGAGGCTTATCCAAAATCTTAAAATATTCTGAACTGCAGATAAATTTTGTTTTGACAAAGCTAAATAACTTACTAATTCTCTCTTTAATGCCTTGTGAGAATGTTTGAAAATATTTTCCATTTCTCTTAGGATGTAATTGGCTGTACACAGGAGATGGACTTTATCCTTTGGCCACGAAATGATATAGAGAAGATGGTCTGTCTCCTGTTCTCCAGGTGGAAGGGAACAGATGATGAGCCTTTCAGGCCTGTTCAGGTACTGTTTTTAACAATAGGCTGAAATAAATTTAAAATGGTTTTTTTATTAATATTTTACAAGGTCCTCTGCTTACTTAGGTGAACTTTAAGTATGCTGTGGCACTACTCAAAAAGAGAAGGGAGCTTCTCCCAGTGTCCTGTCCAATAATTCCCAAAATAAAATTCCATAGATGTTTGTGCGACATTGGCTGCTACAAATACAGTCACTCCACTTCATAGTAAATTCTGTGAAGCACTTTGAGGTGGCCTCCCAATGTGAAAGGTGACATACCAAATGCAAAGAATAATATTTATTTTGAATTCTTAATTTAATAAGTTTTGTATGAATTTGTTTATATTGATCCAAGACAGCTTAAGGTATATTTTCAGAATCAGTAACAAAAAAGTTTATACAGCAACAAAACAACAGCAACAAAATGACACTTGTATAGTGCCTTTCAAGTCAGGAGGACGCCTCAAGGCGCTGGACAGACAGTTACGGATCCGAGCTGAGGGTCGGGGTGGGGGAGGGGATAGGGCAGGGAGAGAAGCAGGGAGATCGAAAGCTCGGTCGAAGAGGAGGATCTTGAGGTCGCGAGGGAGGGGGTGAGGCGGAGGGACTGCGGGATGCAGTTCCAGAGGGTGGGTGCAGGGTGACGGAAGGCCCGCCCGTCAATAGTGGGACGAGCAAGACTGGGGACGTGAAGCAGGTCAGAGCCCGCAGAGCAGAGGGAGCGAACAGCGTGGTAGGGGTTTAAGGAGGTCGGAGAGGTAGGGGGGAGCAAGACCGTGGAGGGCTTTGAAGGTGAGGACCAGGATCTTGAACTGTATCCTCTGTGTGATGGGAAGCCAGTGGAGTTGGGCAAGGATAGGGGTGATAGGGTCGCGGAGCCTAGTCCGGGAGAGGACATGGGCTGCAGAGTTCTGAATGATCTGCAGCCTGTGGAGGGAGGAGTTGGGGAGGCCGACAAGCAGTGAGTTTGCATAGTCGAGCCTCGACATAATGAAAGCATGTATGAGGGCTTCAGCAGCCTGCGGTGTGAGACAGTGTCGGAGCCAGGTGACATTGCGGAAGTGGGGGAAGGTAGAGCGGGTCATGGCCAGATGTGGGGTAGAAAGGATGGTTGAGGATCAAACAAGACCCCAAGGCTCTGAACTGGCTTAGCAAGGTGGAGTGTGCAACCATGGATGGTGATGTTAGTGCCTGAGGTGAGGAGGTGCTGATGGGAGCCAATCAGGAGAGCCTCAGTCTTGTTGATGTACAACTGAAGAAAGTTGGCTCTCATCCAGGACTTGATTCTGACAGACATTCTGTCAGGACAGCGGTGGTCCTGGAGTCAAGGGTGGAGGCAGAGAGTTAGAGTTGGATGTCATCCGCACAGATGTGGAAGTTGATCCCATGTCTGCGGATGATGTCACCAAGAGGGGGTATATAGATATTGAAGAGGAGGGAACTAAGGACAGAGCCCTGAGGAACGCCGCACACGACGGTCCGGGGCCTAAAGGAGGAGCCGTTTGAGGAGATATAGAAGATTAAGCTGATGAAATGTTTTTTGGTTGCTGGGTATCATTTTTTTTTGGTAGCTTGAGTTATATGGGTTGACTCTCAATTAGAACCTGTGTTTGAACTAAGTGGGTAACTGTTTTCAGGTCCTTATTAATTCATGTTTTTTTCAAAGTAGTTTTTTTTGTTCTTGTGCACAGGCCAAGTTTGAGTTTCATCATGGTGATTATGAAAAACAGTTTCTGCAGTTACTGAGCCGGAAGGATAAGGCAGGACTCATCATAAACAACCCGAGCCAGTCCATGTTTCTGTTCATTGATCGTCAGCACTTGCAGGTGAGTGCAGAAGAGATAAATATTACTGCTTCCTGTCTCACTCCCTCCCTATGATCATGCTGTGTAGCCTCCCAGAGCTTTTAAGATCCTGCTGTCTCCGCTGCTTTAAAGGTTCTTGCTGCCAAACACACAAGCCTTAAATCTAGCCATGATTCATACTAAAGCTTTTCGCTTGACCCCATTCCCATCTCTATCTGACCACCCAGCTTCAGCTTCTTGCCCCCTTACTAGCAGACTTTGTACACCTTTCCTTCTTCGATTGTGCAGTTCTCATCTGCAAAACTGTTATCACCTTCCTCAGGAAACCCTCTCTTCACCCTGCCATAGCTCTGCAATTGCTGACCTGGCTGTAATCTGTTTTTCCTTTCTAGTGTTCCGGAACGAGTCATTGCTTCCCAGCTTTGCTCTTTCCTAGCACTCCATGCATGAACCCCTCCAATCTATCTTTCACCCAGTTCATTGTACCAAGACTGCCCTTGGGTCAAAATCGTAAATGATAGTCTCTTGATCTGTGACCAGGGCTCTCTGCATCCTTGTTCTCCTTAATGACTCTGCTGCCTTCCATTCTGTTCTTCCCATTGCCTAGTTTCACCTATCCCAGCATCTTCACTTTCTCTTCAAATGGCTTCTCTAATTTTAAATCTATAATTTTACTAGAAACTATTGCAGTACATATTCCCCCATTAATTAAGCTCAACTATTAAATTCAGAGAAAAAAACAATTACAACATTTCAGCATCCATATGCACCCCTAAACGGGCTGTTGGAATATAGTAGTATTTGGAGCAACAGCCCTGAAATGGTACTGAACTTTGTTGGCTCAGTTATTTGACAATCCCAATCTGTGTTGAGTTGTATGCAACCAGCTTGCTGACTGCACCTGTAGTTAATATAAATTGAGCTTTCTGATAGGCAGACACAAAATGGCAGTTCTCCATGGGATTGCAAAATAAGCAGCCAGATTTTTCTTACAAATTAGAAGGCGTAAGCTGTTTTTTTGATAATTAGATTAACAAAGGAGATAAAAGTATGTTGAAAGTATGCCTCCTTACACTTCCTTTGACCATCTATTGATCAGTGTATCAGGTGAGTGCTCATTATAAGACTCATCACAGTTATTGCATTTGAACTTCTAACTTTTGCTGGTATGGTTCGGGAGTGCCATAATCTCTGCCTTAATTTGAATCTAAGTATCCTAAAAAAAGTAAAGTACTTTTTTTTTTCCTTTCTCAGACTCCAAAAACGAAGGCGGTAATTTTCAAATTGTGCAGTGTCTGCCTTTACCTGCCACAGGATCAGCTCACCCGGTGGGGAGTTGGAACCATTGAGGATCACCTCCATCCCTACATGCCAGATTAGAGCAGTAGCCAGCAGAATAGGGAAGACAATAGGATCAACAACAGTGAATTCACATTTCATCTTTATTTCTGGGTTGAAGACTATTATCCACTCATTGAAAGAACAGTCTGTTACCAATATATTCATCTTGAAGCTTAGGTTTTTCTTAAGTCTTGCATCTCTCAGAACTTTATTTTTAAATGTTATTGCCTGGCGCGGTCACTATGTTCAATAGGCTGCCTTGTGGTTAACCTGCATTGTATCAGTTCATTTGGAAAATAAGGTGAAATTTGAAAGGAATTTTTACACACTGATGCAAATATACCTGAAATGTACATAGAAGTCTTCACATTTGTGCTGGTTATGTGCCCTGACAATTAAGTTAGATGTTGAGGTGTAATGCACATTAGGGTGAGAAGTGCATGCAACTGGGATTTCAGCATCAAAAGATACAACGTATGGATGGATGTGTTGTGCAGATGAAGGGTTTTAAAACTGAATAGTACGAACATTATGTTCCTGTCAGATAAATTTGTATTGGGCACATTCTGGTCATCATTTTGTAATAGTGACAATGAGCAGCTGAAATGAGGGAAATTAATCTTGAAGTACTCATTTAAAAAATCTCTTAAATAATGTAGGCCCTGTAACCTTGTTTGGGCTACATTTGAGTTTGCTGGCATGTTCTTTTTGGATGTCGTTCCCCGAGTTGCTACATAAATGTACTAAGGAGTTTTCCTTCTATTCTAGAGGAAATTGAGCAGGTTAATAATAGGCAGACTCTGCAAATAGCAGAACTGGAGTCTCAAGTAGCTAAAGGAGCTACAAAATTAAAATCCAATGTTACTGGAATCTTAAGAAAATCAACCTTCCTATAGCAGCTTATTTAACTAAGAAAGTGAGCTTGGTACTATAGGATGAAAGTAGAAAGTGTAACCGTTATCAATGGCGCAAAATATGCTGGTTTGTGATAACGCAACTGTTTAAAGTTAATAAAACGACTAATGGAAAGTTACCAGTACTTTGTGTACAAGAAAGGAATATGTACCTAATATTACTTTAAAAAAAATCTTTGGAGTGTTTCGATTGGGTTATTAGGGGGATTGTTTGTAAGACTTGATTTTGAGCTCGTGCAATTAATGTGAGGCAGGCTGCAAAAATTAATCATTCAAGAGGAAAAAGTTTTTCTGTGAAGTTGGAACAGAGCTTTTTGGGGTTATTTATGCATGCCTGCCACTTCAGATAAGAACAGCGCAAATCAGTAGCAAATTTGTATTCGCCTTCTGTTGGAATTGGAAAAATGTCTGAAAATTAAATAAATCTTTAATCCGTATTTAAAATTGTCTATGAACTGTTCTTCAAAAAAAATGTCTGTCAGCATGTGTTATTGTGTAGCTGTTAAGTGAAAGCACCATGAAAAAGAAAATCTTAACAGCACTAATGAGGATAACGGATGAAACACTTGGTACAAAATTGCAGTATTCCTATATCCATCCAAGATCAAGGCTCAGCATTTTCAACTGACTTTGAGGGCTGCCTTTTCTTTGGACGTTGGGTGGGGGGAGAGGTGGGGGTTAAAAATCCATTTTAATGAGCCTGACACAAGGAACCAACGTGTTTAAAGCAAACTTGTTTTTTGCTGCTTAAAAAAAAAGTTATAGAGCAACTTATTACTTTTCACTTTCAAAATTCAACTTCTGTTTCCTCTTTGCAATCCATTATTCAAAGTCGGTCACAGTCGCTTTTATTATGAGCTCATTGCAATTCAGAGGAACAGGTTCAGACTCTTTAGGCAAGACTTGCTGATGATTTTAGTCATAGTAACTAAAACATTCCCCAATCCTGACGATACTGAACATTTTCATCTAGTTTTCAAGTATTGTGGTAGCTGAAACCCTGTAAAGTAATGCTGATGTACATCTTTTAATTTCCAGTGTGAAGTTACTACCTGTTACAAAAAAAATCAAGTATCTAAGTTGATTCTTTAAGCAGACTTCCTCTCTGGAAAGATGGATATTAATGGACTGACCATTTGCTTTACTTACAGCCTTCTAATACTGAGGTTAAACTGCCTGAAAACAGAAGATGACTAATATTTGTCAGAAGAGATCCTCCTAGCGATCTTAATTTTTTTATATAAAGCCTTTCATAGCGGAAGGCTGCCTCAAAGGGCTTCACAGGATTTATTGTAAGGTAGAGTGACTCTTTAATTTGTAGGAGAACGCCTATAAAATTATTTTGTAATGCATCTGCGTTGCATGTTATTTTTTCTCAAACAAGCCATGTTGGCTTAGGTTATTTTTTGCTGCAGGCCCTTCCCCAGAAGGAAATGAGGTTGAGGGCCCACTCAGCTCCGTGCAAGCCAAAGCAGTGTGGTCAAGCTGGACAAGCAGCGGGAAGCTTGCCAAACGGTCCTCATTAGAGAGCTACCGAAATCCTGGATTAACATTAAGCCAAAATGCAACAAATTGCTAAATTATGGATGTTCTAAAATGCTACACAAGTAATAATAATCCTTGCATTTGATTTAGCGCCTTTCACATCATGATGTCTCAAAGCGTTTCATGGGATATACAATAAAGTGCATTGACTGTATTTTGTGAGCGAAATGCAGCAGCCAGTTGCAGGGAGCATTGTCCCACCAACAGCATTCGAAAGAGTGACCATTTTTATTGAGGAATTGTTGGCCAGGACACCGGGAGTAACTCCATTCTCTGCCAGTAGTGCCTTGGGATCTTTAACGTCCACCTGAACAGGCAGATGGGATTTGGGTTTTAACATCACACTCCCAGTGGTGCATTGGAATGTCATCTTAGACTATATGAGTTCCAATTCCTGACATGGGGTTTGAACCCCCAACCTTCTGACTCAGAGCTGCGAGTGCTACCACTATGCCAGGGCTGGTGTAAATCTAGAGCTGGGTGGAATCACTGATCAGAAAGGCACAGGTTTGACTCCCAACTTCTTGTGTTAGTTGATCTCACCTGGAATAGTAGTTGGGGCACTAATGGTGGCTGGGACCTCCTTACGAGGAAAATCAGTTAATTCTACTCCTGATTACTATATGGTGACCCCTGCAAATTGTGTGTATGGATGTTGACGAGAATATCAGTTTAGCTGTGGTGTTTTATACAATTCAATAGCCTGAATTATCGATTTCAAGACACTCATTTTCAAATTCCTTCAATACCCTGGCACCTCTCTACCTCTCCGACCTGCTTACTCCCCAACCCACTACCAATTACTTCTGCTCGAATGCCTCCAGCCTCCTGCTTGTCCCTCATGCCATCTGTTCCACCATTAGTGTCTGCGCTTTCAGCCACTGTGCCCTGAAACTCTGGAGCATTCTCCCTCAATCCCTCCACCTTGCCCCCTCCTTCCTCCTTTTTTTGCCACAAATGGTACCTTATTAAAATACACTTTGGGGCTTGTACTCTGATTGCATTTATCCAAAAAGCAACTGGATAAGTATCTGCTTATAATCGGGATTAGCAGACATGCAGAGGGTCATCAGAATATGAATGCTTTGCACAAGTAGCTGTTGAAACCAACTTGATCAAACCAATATTTAAAAGGGAATTGGATATGACAAAAACAATTTGCATTTACAAAGCGTGCTTCGCGTAGGAAAACATCTCGGAACACTTAATGATGGGGTTGAACATCGAGCAAAGGGAAAGAGGGAAATGACCAGGTGCACAAGTTTTTAAGTAGATGGACAGAGGCAAGAGGCTAGAGGCAGGTGTTCCAGATTATATGTGTTGCAACTGGATAAACAACAACTTACATTTATATAGCGCCCTTCACACAGGGTAGAGTTCTCGGATCGCTTAACAGTGGTGGAGCCTGATGCCAAGCCACTGGAAGGGAGGAGGTGAAAAATACTTGAAGAGGAAGATTATTTAGGAAAGTCAGCAGGGAACTGGGATTAGAATGATAGGCTCTAGTGGTTGAGCTGGCTGCTGGGCTTCCCATTATTTCTATCCGGTCTGCGAAATGGGAATCAATTGTATTTAAAGTACAATCAATGTAAACTTTAAAATGAAACCTTGAAGTACATTTTTAATAAGGCATGTTGAATGCATTCAAAACATGACAGTAAAGGTTTTCTGTTGTTCACAAGTTTTTCAGCTGCCCAAAAACTTTGTGTGACGACCCTGAGCAATGAGCTTTCCTGTTGTTTTGCTTGTCAAATCGACAGTTGCAAAGCCAAGAGTCCGACCTTGCTTCAGCACCTCAGCAGATATGATAAGATCCTCTCCCACTTTAGCTGCATTCATGTACCTGAAAAGAGAGGAAAAATGGCAGGTTACACAATGGGAGCTGAAACATTTATATTTGAACTCACATATATTGACTCCAACAAAAACAGAAGTTGCTGGAAACACTTGGCAGGTCAGGCAGCATCTATGGAGAAAGGAAAGTTAGTCAACGTTTCTGGTCCACAAAACTTCGGCAGAACTAGGGAATGTTGGGAGGGAGAGGCTTTTAAGGGCTAACAGAGAGGGGAGAGGGAGGGCAAGGAAGACAAAAGAGAAAATGGGGTAAAGGACAAGGGATGATGAGTTAAAGCGATGTTAATGATGCAAAACAAAGTGGGGGATTGCAACAAAATAGGGCAAAAGAGGCATATATCAACTCCTGCCGGGTAACTGAATGTTTCTTTTTGATAGCCGGATGCCTAAGGGAATGCAAACCAAAATGAAAGTTCCATGCATAACTACGTATACATGAAAATTCCCGAGATATATATTGGAACGGCATTCGAACTTTCTCCCAGTTAGGAATTTAGCTTGTCGAGTTAACAGGAACTGAATGGGAAGAGTCCAGGCCCCAGTGACTGGTCTGCCCTTCCAAGTCCTGCCAATGAGCCAGGCTGGCTGGGCTGTCAGCATTAGTGCCCTGGAATACTGCAGACCTGCCTGGCTCAAGAACAGGACTGCTGAACCGCCACAGAGTATTGCTTTGATTTTAACATTCTGTGGCCAAACATGTCACCTTGCAGCCAGTTCAGCTCCAGGGAGACTCTGCTTATCTTCCCCCCAAATAGAACAATCACTATTTGGTCAGTTGATATCTGACATGCGCAGGTTTGAGCTCTCAGTAGGTGGATGGACGATACCCGGAATTTCCTGCGAGCTGTAAGGATAACTGAATGGTATCAGGTGAATGGCACTATACAAATATATTTTTTATCTTTCTCCCCCAAAAAGCTAGCAAATAAACTGGCCATCACCAGATTTTTTAAAAAGACAGTTTTGTTGTGAGAGAAAGGGTAAAACTAAATTTTATTCCACATTTGTTTTCCTCTTCACAAAACATCTTTCTGAGATGGAAACCTTGCAGCTCACAGACAGCATCACAACATGCACTAGTTGTAATCAGTAGTGTGTAAATAGTTGGGATTATAGTAGAATCATTGGTATTGATCATGTAGTGAATAGATGAATTAAGTAGAATGAATTAAAGAAATAAAAACTGCCATGTGGCACACACGTACACACTCACACCCACACACACACACACAGCCCTAGTAAAGAGGCGCCGAGGTAGGAGGAGTACACTGGAATGTGACCCATGGCCAGGGAAGATAAGGATAGCAGATCTAGAGAATGGATGGTAGGCCATCTGCGCTTACAAGGGCATGTGACCTACGGGCAGGAGAGATAGGAACCTGGGATAATTGGACCAGGAGAATAGATGGGATACAAACTAGCAATTAAAATTGAGAAAATGCTTAAAGTGAGCAGGTCACATGGACGGAGTTAGAAAGAAGGACTGAAACTTCAGAGATATGGAGTCACGTGGTTTGGTCAGGCTAGATAAGATGGAATAGGAGGAGTATTGTTCTCTTGCAAAAGAAACACTAGCTGGTACAAGGAGAAATGACTTGAAGATAGGGAAGAATGCCTGGGAAAAGTGCAGAGAGTGGGAAAGAAGTCATGGGAAGAAAAGTTAGAACACAGATGGCTGACGAAAAAGAGTATAAAAATCGATAGCCAAAACCTAAAGAGTTTTTTTTGGAGCCTCTGAGGAGAGGAAGGGGACAAACCTCTATGGAGAGGAAGAAGAGCGCCTTTGAGGGAAAGAGGACAAGTCTAGCTCTCGCCGGAGTGGACCGCAAAGAGGACCAGTTCAGTCTTTGCCTGAGTGGACCACCAAGAGACGTTTGCAGCTCGAAGCAAGCCAGAGACGGTGTTTAACTTTTGTGCCAGCCTTAGAACTTCGTCACAACTTTTCCTGCCTGCTTGGTAGTATCTCTCCTATTTACTAAAACACGCACCCAACATACATACAAAACAGTTAGAGATTATTTAGATACATTTCATATGTCACATAATTTTTTTATATATGTTTAGAATTTTAGTATTGAGTGTATCTTGTAAAAATAGTGCTTCAGTAGTCATTTAAGCGCGACGAGTAATGATAATGCGTTGGGTATAATGTGATGTTTATGCTTGTGTGGTTTTATAATTGCTAATAAAGCATTTTAATAATATCCTTGGTGTGGTTTCTGACAAATACTTGAACCCAATTTCACAAGTGTCATCACATTGGATACAAGCACGATTTTGCTCCGCTCTGATTGTAACTCTCCCTCTCCCTTTGTAATTCTCTTTGTAATATAACCCAGTAACATTCAGTATGATATATACTATAAAATGTCAATGTATGATATTACCTAATGGATTATTATGTGTTGCATATTATTAGATGATATTATATATAATATAACCTAATAACACTGCCCAGCCAAATAGCTATTTAATTGCAGTAATGGAGGTCAGCTGAAGCCCATGTCACATTCCTCTGGTAATTAAATCATTCTAAATGCTACAAACATCATTTCTGGATACAAAACCAATCCTACAAGCTATAATTTATGATTAGTGTGCAGAAAAACGTAGCTGATAGGAGGATAAATAAATCTGCCTGTTTTCCTGTTCTCAATCATGTCCAGTGTCTGACTATACATATATTTTCACTAGTCAAGGAAAACAGGCCATAGTCCCTACCCCCCACTCCTAATATCACGTGACCTGGTAACAAAATAATCAGCCAAATGACCATTTATTTGTAGCCCTGAAGGTCAACTGCTGTCAGTGGAGCCAATGGCTTGGGGGAAAGAGTCAGGGGGAAGGAGTGGTGGGGGAAGAAAGAGAGAGAAAGGGAGGGGGAAAAAAAACTTGCAACACTGGATCACCAACCGTTTGGCTAACAATAATAATCATTGCATTTTGATATAGCACCTTATCACGTCATAGAGAAGTATCAAAGCGTTTCACAGGATACACTATAAAGTGGATCGAATGACTGTATATCTTGTGGGCGAAACAACCAGGTTGCCCAAGTTAGACTTACGTTATATTCATGTCTACACTGACTCCTGGTGTTGCTCTTTCCGTATTCAGTAAGGCTGTTGTTGACACCACGTCGACAATAGTAGCAATCAACCCTCCATGCAGAGCACTTGATCGGTTTACATGCTCTTCCTCCACTTTCAACTCGCAAACAACTTTCCCAGGACTTGCTGAAACAACATTCATCTACAAAGTAGACAGTGAAGGAGTATCACAGTTCTTTCTGAAATTAATATACATTTTTAAAGATGTGCTCTATGTTACTACCAAATGCAAACACTATCCTTTAGAATAGTAGTGTTTGGTGTACTGTATTCCTAAATTGTATACTTACACTCCGTGTCCTAGCAGAACTCTTAAGACTTGAGGTCCAATTTGTGGTTTGGACAATAAAGCCATAAGTCGGGCCGGCTCAGTTGGTAGCACTCTCACCTCTGAGTCAGAAGGTTGGGGATTCCAGCCCCATATTGGGACTTGAACTCATATTGTCTAAGATGACATTCCAGTGCAGTGCTGGGGGTCCACTGCATTGTTAGAGATGTAGTCCTTTGGATTAGACGTTAATCCAATATCCCATCAGCCTGCTAAAGCTCTCAAATAAAATTAGTCCCCCAAATAAAATTGGTCATTTACTTCATGGCTGTTTGTGGGATACTGCTATACACAATTGGCTGCTGTGTTTGTCCTCACAGTCACTGTATTGTGAAACGCTTGAGGACGTCCCCTGATGTGAAAGGCACTATACCAAATGTAAGGATTATTATCATAAACTTGCAGGTTCTGATAAGAGATATGAGACCGACACAGAGGATTGATATGATTCCAACATTCTGTTGCCAAGCACCTCACCCTGGAGCCAATCTTCCTCTTACCCCAGGAGGATAGTCATTAGCTGACAACACAGTTTTGAGCCTCATTAGGAGGATGGCAGATACCAGGAATTCCCCTTGAGCTTCCTGGTGGGTAACACAGGTCAACATGAAATGCGTGAGAGTATTGTTTCCACCCTCTCTCTGCCAACAGCTCAGTCACACATCCCTTCCTATTGAGTAGTGGTTCCATCTGTTCCATCTGGAGGTGTAAAGTTTGAGCAGCAGCTGCTTACCTCTCTGAAAACCAATCAAGATGGATATCAAGCCCTGGATATATGAACGTGTGCTCATAAACCCAGACTCCAGGTAATCCTTCCAGCTTCAGGCCTCAGACTTTCCTCAGCTACTTGACAAATGTCTTTCTTCAGTGTGATGGGAGGACCTTTATAGAACATCTTAAGATGTGCCAGCCACCCAAGTCCAATGCTTAATCCAAGTCACTTTGACAACTAGGTGTGCCCGCCTCAAAGCTGACTGCCTCCAGGGTGCTCAGAACAGTATTCCAGAACTTGACTTAGTTGCCATTCTTCATCCGCAACCCTCGACTGCAAGTCTCTTCAGGCTATTTGACAGTGAGAAGCCTCACAGCTGAGTCTAATGCTGTTCTCGCCAAACATCCACCCATATGCACTTTCCAGCAAAGGTGACTGGGTGGCGATCAGGAGCCAGAGACCGTTTTTCCCCGGGACACATTGTAGCCCTCCTGATTCAGCATTTTATTTGGATTCAGTATTGGACTCCCAACACCTTGTTTTTAAGGCTGACAACAATCATCAGAATTCTCTCCAATGTGTTGATGCCTTACATTTGATATAGTGCCTTTCACATCAGGATGTTTCAAAGCACTTCACAGGATTTTCTATGAACTGGAGTGACTATTTGTCGGTGAATGCAGCAGCCCAATTATACATAGCCATGTCCCACAGACGACTGTTGAAGAAATGACCAATTTCTTTCACAGTTTCCTTTTTCTTTTTGAATAGTGCTGTGGGATCTTTAACATCCATTTGAATGGGCAGACAGAACCTCTGTTTAATCTGTCATGCAAAGGACGGCACCTCCAACAATGAAGCCCCCACCTCCACTCCCCCCAGCGCTGCATTGGGGTATCAGCAGGGATTACACAAGTTCCATTCCTGACTTGGGGTTTGAACCCACAATCTTCAACGGTGCCTTTGGTCACCTCCCCCCACCCCCACTGACCACCCCTTCCAATTTGGTGTCAAAACACTCCACTGTTAAGCGCTCCAAGACGCTGCCCTGCATAAAGGATGTTATATAATAATAATCCTTGCATTTGATATAGTGCCTTATCACGTGTTCTCGACATCTCAAGCAATACACAGAATATACTGTAAAGTGAATTGACTCTACGTTTTATGTATGAAACGCGACAGTCAATTGCGCATGGCAGTGTCCCACAAACAGTCATGGACTGAGTGACCACATTATTATTATTTATTTTTTATTATTTTTTGAAGGCATTATCCCCGGAAAAGCGATCCACCAATCGACTAACAACCAGGTTTCTATTTACTGCTAGGTAAAGCTAGGTAGCTCTGAGATGCTACCCTGCGTGGAGTGCAAGTTGTTGTTATTGTTACAGGTAAACAGAGGCGTGTGGAGTAAGGAAACATGCACAACGTTTAACCCTGGGAATCAAACCCAGGTCTGCTCGCTTGCGAGGCGAGCGCTCTGACCACTTCGCTACAGGACTCCACTCCATATAAATGCAAGTTGCTGTTGTTGTACACTGCATTACACAAAGTGTCAAGTAGAAACTTGTGACTATCCGGGAAGGTGAGGTGTTGTAAGTGGGGTCTCCTTAGAGGTGAGTTGACTCTACTGTGAAGTGCTTGGCAATGGAATGTCAGAATTGTCAACCCTCTGTGGCGGTCTCTGTAGTCCAGTTTCTGAGCCAAACCTGTCCACAATACTCCCGGGTACCACTGATGACAAACCAGCTAGCTTGGCACATCAGCAGGATTTGGAGGCAGACACGGGGGCAGTGTTCGGAGATTAATTAACAATTAGGGTTCTCCAAGATGGACAAGCAGCGAGAAACTTGCTAGACAATGCTCTCAATGGCAAGCTATGTGGTTAAGCTGGTTAAACTTCACAAGTACTCCTATACACAATCTAGGGTCCCCAACGCTTGGACCTCCCCAGCCTGATGAAAATGGGTAAATCTGGGCATTTTTCTCCAACATAAAAGAAATTACATATATAGTGTAATATCCTGTTAAGCCCTGACACATCCTGCTATCCCTTGTCCATGAAACATCCGCTATAGGAAATGAGTTCTTTGATTGGAGTTACATTACATGAATGATTCATGGGATCCATCAGAAAAATATTCAAGCGGAAAAGTTTGTTCAACTTGTCAGGCAAAATATAGCACCGCACTATACAGTAGTTATAATAATAATAATCCTTGCATTTGATATAGCGCTTTTTACGTCTTCTTGACGTCTCAAAGCGCTTCACGGAATATGCTGTAAAGTGAATTGACCGTATATTTGTGGGCGAAATGCGGCAGCCAATTGCGCACAGCAGTGTCCCATCGCTTAAAACTGGTGCAACTGGTGAAACTGGTGCAGAATTCACCTGCTCAGCTATTTATATTCACAGCTTTATTGGATGTCATAAATAGACAATCTGGATTTTTTGGGAGGAGTAAGTGAAATGGTGACGATTTAGACACTGAGTTCAACCACTTAACAATAACAACTTGTATTTGCATAGCGCCTTTCACAACGAGAGGACGTCCCAAGGCCCTAGACAGTCATAGGATTTTGACCTGAGCAGGGGTTGGGATCAAGTGGGTTGGACTTTGTTTCAATGCACAACAATAATAATAATAATCCTTGCATTTGATATAGCACCTTGTAATAATAATAATAATCCTTGCATTTGATATAGCGCTTTTCATGTCGGGAGGATGTCCCAAAGCGCTTCACAGAACACACTGTAAAGTGAATTGACTGTATATTTGTGGGCAAACGCTGCAGCCAATTATCATGTTATTGAGACGCCTCAAAGTACTTCACAGAATATAAAGTGGCTTGACTTTAAAAAAAAGGCTTTGTTTTTAAACAAAAACCTTGCATTACAATCCAGCGCAATTTACATTTAGGATCGGAGGTACTATGTTTCCACAAAGCTTTTCTAACGCTTTACCTTTCTTAAAACCTGATCGAAACCGCGTCCTCCTGTTATGCTTCTGATGATCTCCCTGAGAGCATTCACGGATGAAGCCATTATTTTCAACCTGATCTAGGGTGAAACACAAGAGACAAGGTGAAATATCACGCTAAGTGTATAGGAGCAGAGTTTGGGCTATTTTGTTGCGCTTGCGGAATAAGCACTGTACTTCTCATAGAGCCCGGACTTTGCCCTGCCTCTGACACACTGCTCTCTCTGTCACTCACCTTGCTTTGCCTCTAACACTCTGCTCCTCTGTCACTCAAACCGCTCTCCTTCCTGGATCTGCAGATCGATGCCGCTTTCCCCGCGACACACCCACAACCAGCATTTGGTTCCTATACCTGTGCAATACTGCACTTCAACTGGATCTGCTCGTACTTACAGAGGCTCCTCACCTTTGTGAAAAAAAGTGAATCACCTGTTCCTCCCAACTGATTCCGAGATAAAGACTAGATCATTGCTGATGAACTGCAAGACCCGCATCTAAAGCTCAGAAATCTGGAAGAAGGGGTAGGACTTTTCTTTTTTTAATCTTGCTTTCTGCAACTTCACATTTCTTTCTCCCCAGTAATAAGTTCACATGTCAATGAAAACATAATTACTGTAAATCCTGTAATCATGTTTCTTTAATTGACAAGTAATGCAATGATCAATAATCTTTGCATTTCATACAACGCCCATAAATGTGGCAGCCTTGCACAGTGGTAGCATTCTTGCCTCTGAGTCAGAAGATTGTGGGTTCAAGTTCCATGTCAGGACTTGGAATCACATAAGTCTAACTCTAAGGTGACACTCTAATACAGTGCTGGTGGTGGGAGGTGGGCTGTTACATTGGGAGGTGCTGGCCTTTGGATGAGACATTAAACCGAGATCCTGTCTGCCTATTCAGGTGGTAACTGATAGCATGGTCGAAAAGGAGGGTTCTGAGGTGGGACTTGAAAGAGGCTAAGGAGGGTGCGAGACGGAGTGAATTCCAGAGGTTGAGGGCAGAGTGGCTGAAGGCTCTCCCACCAATAGTGGGGCGGGTGGGTCGGGGGACATGGAGTAGCCCGGAGCCGGCTGAGCGGAGGGAGCGGGCGGGTTGGTACATGGTTAGGAGGTCGCAGAGGTAGGGTGGGGTGAGGCCACGGAGGGCTTTGTAGGTGAGGACCAGGCTCTTGAACTGGATCCTCTGAAGGATAGGGAGCCAATGGAGTCGGGCGAGAATGGGGAAGATGGGGTCATGGAGTTTGGTGCGGGAGAGGACAATGGCAAACTATTCAGCTTTAGCTGGTTAAACTTCAGCAATATCCCCAATGCACACTCGAGGGTCCCCAAGCCTTGGCGCTAGACACCTTGTGCCTAATATTCTCCAGGGAGGGAATGTGCATCCCATTTCAGACAATGGGAAATAATCACGTGTAGGTGGCATTCAAATATGTTGCTATTAACTGATACCTGGCTGACCTAAAAAAACAAGGAACTCTACCAAACTGGTTAGAGCACAAATTTTATTTCGTTGTCATAGGTGATCAGATTATTCGTAGGTGATCAGATTATTAATCCTATATTGAAATAGTGCCATTAGCAATTTTGACTATATAGCATTTAATCTTATCCGAGAATTTTAAAAAATCGATAGTGAATGTGTATACTATACAGGTGTGCACGATCGGGTGAACCCCAATGATTTTGGCAGGAACGCACTGTCAAATCTGCATTCTCCTTGTGCCTCTCTATGGAGAGCACAGGGACAGGGGAGACAATATAATAATAATAATAACAATCCTTACATTTTATTTAGCGCCTTATCATGACGTCTCAAAGCATTTCATAGGATTATACTGTAACGTGGAGTGACTGTTGTTTTGTGGGCGAAACCTAAGCACGAGACAAGAGCAGGCGAGTTGCCTGGTTCGACGAGTTTGCAATGTGTACATAATAAAAAGTTATTTTTGGTCAACCGGGGGTCTGACAATGCGGAAGCCCATCACCGTGCATAAGAGTCTCCAAATCAAACCGAGATTTCCACGCATCCCACCTACACGTGGAAATCCCAGACAGGGATTGTTGGAATGGAATGGGCACTCTCCCCCCGGAGGGACGCTTCCTGCTTCCCTAATTCCGGAAAGTAACGGGGTGCAGGTTGGCAAGAGCCAAGGCTGTGGGGGGGATCCCAGAGTGTGTGTCGGGTGGGGGGGGGGTAACTGCTGGAGTCTAACCCGCTAATACCGCGCGGCTTGTCATCCATTTGTGGAGTCCTGTAGCTCAGTGGTTAGAGCACTCGCTTCGCAAGCGAGAGACCTGAGTTCAATTCCAGGCAGAGGGCGAAACCTTGGGCAAGTTTCCTTACTCCACACAGAGCCTAATAATAATCCCTCCAAAAAACAAAAACAATAATAAATTGGTCATTTTCAATCTACGACTGTTTGTGGGACATTGCTGTGCACAATTGGCTGCCGCGTTCGCCCACAAATATACAGTCAATTCACTTTACAGTGTGTTCTGTGAAGCGCTTTGGGACGTCCTCTCGATGTGAAAAGCGCTATATCAAATGCAAGGATTATTATTATTATTATTATCGATGCCGCTGTTCCGGTGAGCTTTCCCACTGCTTGTCCGGCTTAAGACCGCCCGACATGTTCGGGCTTGGGCTTGCAAGGTTAGCAGGAGCTGAGGGGGATGATTCCCTGCCCTTCCAGGTCCTGCCAGTGAGCCAGGCAGGGCAGAGCAGGGCCAGGCAGAGCAGAGCAGAGCCAGGCAAGGTAGTGCCAGGCAGGGCAGGGCAGAGCCAGGCAGGGCAGAGCAGAGCCAGGCAGGGCAGAGCAGAGCAGAGCCAGGCAAGGTAGTGCCAGGCAGGGCAGGGCAGAGCCAGGCAGGGCAGAGCAGAGCCAGGCAAGGTAGTGCCAGGCAGGGCAGAGCAGAGCCAGGCAGGGCAGGGCAGAGCCGGGCAGGGCAGAGCAGAGCAGAGCCAGGCAGGGCAGTGCCAGGCAGGGCAGAGCAGAGCCAGGCAGAGCAGAGCCAGGCAGGGCAGAGCAGGGCAGGGCAGAGCCAGGCAGAGCCGGGCAAGGCAGAGCCGGGCAGAGCAGAGCCAGGCAGGGCAGTGCCAGGCAGGGCAGAGCAGAGCCAGGCAGAGCAGAGCCAGGCAGAGCAGAGCAGGGCAGGGCAGAGCCAGGCAGGGCAGAGCAGGGCAGGGCAGAGCCAGGCAGAGCCGGGCAGGGCAGAGCAGAGCCAGGCAGAGCAGAGCAGAGCCAGGCAACGCAGTGCCAGGCAGGGCAGGGCAGAGCCAGGCAGAGCAGAGCCAGGCAGGGCAGAGCCAGGCAGGGCAGGGCAGAGCTGTGATGAGCGATGCTCTGGATACTGAACCTGGTTAATCCGCAGCCAATTGGTTTGGGGGAAGAACAGGTCCCTGTGAGGAGCAGCAGCAGCAGCGGGAGGGGGAGGAGGCGGAGAGGAGGAGTTTGTGGCCATGAGTGACCTGGAGCCTGAGTGTAAGAGGCCGAGAATCACAGAGCCCGAGCTCGACCCCGGGGAGAGGCTCGAGCCGCCTCCTGCAGCCGCCCGGGGCCCGGCCCAGGAGCAGCCCGAGGCCCAGCCCCAGCCCGAGGCCCGGCCCGAGGCCCAGCCCCAGCCCCGGCCCGAGGATGAGGAGGAAGCGGAGAGGCGCCGCCGCGGCCTCTGCACTGAGTTCTCCGCGGTGTCGGGCACTGAGGAGGCCGCGGCTCAGTGCTACTTGGCGGCCAGTGGCTGGGAACTGGGGGTGGGTACAGCGCGGCTCCTTACTGATCACTCACTCTCTCACACACTCACACACTGACACACTCACTCACACACTCACTCACTCACTCACACACACACTGACACACTCACACACTCACTCACTCACACACTGACACACTCTCTTACACACTCTCTTACACTCACACACTCACACACACACTCACACTCACTCACTCACACACTCACACACTCACTCACTCACACACTGACACACTCACACACTCACTCACACACTGACACACTCACTCACTGACACACTCACTCACTCACACACTCACACTGACACACTCACACACTGACACACTCTCTTACACACTCTCTTACACACTCACTCTCTTACACACTCACTCACACACTGACACACTCTCTTACACACTCACTCTCTTACACACTCACTCACACACTGACACACTCACACACTCTTACACGCTCACACACTCACTCACACACTCACTGACACTCACTCACACACTCACCGACACACTCATTTACACACTCACTCTCTTACACACTCATTTAAACACTCACTGACACACTCACCGACATACTCATTTACACACTCACTCTCTTACACACTCATTTAAACACTCACTCTCTTACACACTCATTTACACACTCACTCTCTTACACTCATGTATACTCATTTACACAAACGCTCACTTACACATTTACACACCTGCTCACTTACACACTCATTTACACACTCACTCTTACACACATTTACACACTCACTCTCTTACACGCTCACTCTCTTACACGCTCACTCACTGACACGCTCACTCACTGACACGCTCACTCACTGACACGCTCACTCACTGACACGCTCACTCACTGACACGCTCACTCACAGACACGCTCACTCACAGACACGCTCACTCACTGACACGCTCACTCACTGACACGCTCACTCACTCAGACACACTCACTCACTGACACGCTCACTGACACACTCACTCACTGACACGCTCGCTCACTGACACGCTCGCTCACTAACACGCTCGCTCACTAACACGCTCGCTCACTGACACGCTCCCTCACTGACACGCTCCCTCACTGACAGGCTCCCTCACAGACACGCTCACTCACAGACACACTCACTCACTGACACGCTCACTCACTGACACGCTCACAGACACGCTCACTCACAGACACGCTCACTCACTGACACGCTCACTCACTGACACGCTCACTCACTGACACGCTCACTCACTGACACGCTCCCTCACAGACACACTCCCTCACAGACACGCTCCCTCACAGACACGCTCACTCACAGACACGCTCACTCACTGACACACTCACTGACACGCTCACAGACACGCTCACAGACACGCTCACAGACACGCTCACTCACAGACACGCTCACTCACAGACACGCTCACTCACTGACACGCTCACTCACTCAGACTCACTCACTGACACGCTCACTCACTGACGCCCTCACTCACTCAGACACACTCACTCACTGACACGCTCACTCACTCAGACACACTCCCTCACTGACACGCTCACTCACTCAGACACTGGCTGAGGGGCTGGTCAGCAATGTCCCACAAACAGTCGTAGATTGAAAATGACCAATTTATTATTGTTTTGGGTTTTGGAGGGATTATTATTAGGTGTGTGGAGTAAGGAAACTTGCCCAAGGTTTCGCCCTCTGCCTGGAATTGAACTCAGGTCTCTCACTTGCAAAGCGAGTGCTCTAACCACTGAGGACTCCACAGTAGCTCAGTGGTTAGAGCGCTCGCCTCGCAAGAGAGAGACCTGGCTTCGATTCCCGGCCAGGACGAAACCTTGGGCAAGTTTCCTTACTCCACACGCCTCTGTTTATCTAGCAGTAGGTAGGAACAAGGCCGTGGAGGGTTTTGAAGGCGAGGGCCAGGATCTTGAACTGTATCCTTTGAGTGATGTGGAGCTACTGGAGCCGGGCGAGGATGGAGGTGATAGGGTCGCATAGTGCGTGAGAGGTCACGGGCTGCGGGGTTCTGCATGATCTGCAGCCTGGGGAGGGAGGAGTTGGGGAGGCCGACAAGCAGGGAAGTAGTCGAGCCTGGATGTAATGAATGTGTGGAAGAGGATCTTGGCGTCCTGGGGTGAGAGACACCGGCAATGTGGCCGAGATGTTTTTATCAAACAGAGTTCCTGTTGTTGTTCGCTATACAAAGACCACTGTTGGAAGGTGCAGATGTTGGGTGAGGACAGGGTCAGGTTTGGCTTTAATGCCCTATGGTGAAATACACTAGTGATTTGTCCCGTTCATTTGCAGAGAGCACTTAATTCCTATTTTGACTCAGACGTCCAGCCATCTTCCTCAGCCATGGAAACTCCTTCGCAGTTGGATGAGGGAGCAAGCTCTCAGGTGTGGTAAGTACAATCCGCCACAATTAAATATAATGTATTTAAAGACTCGTGTGCTTTTAGTGAGGCGGACGGAGCAGAGTGTGTGGGGTCACTGATGGTTCTGAAGAGAAACGAGGATCCTAGCTTGAAAAAAAAGGAATAATACTTGCAATTTGATATTAGTACTTTTCACCTCGGAAGGATATTTCAAAGTACTTCACAGGATTTGCTGTTAAGTATAGTGACACTGTATTTAGTATGCACATGTTCATACAGATATGTGCAAACACCATCAATTGTTCTGGACAATTAAACCAATCGTGATATCTGAGCAGGGGTGCAGATCTGTACTCTTATTGTCAAGAGCATCTTTGGGCAGTTCCGAATGTTCCTGTTTTGCTAGCCTTGTGGAATGGCAAAGTAGAACAAATAAAACTGTAGAGAAGTTTCTCCTGATTTGAGTTGATCATTGCTTTGCCAAGCTACTGTTGTTTAGAGGTAGACATTATAATCAATATTTTGTATTAGTGGGGTGTACCTTTGAACTGAAACTCTTCCACAGGAATATTGCAGTCGTATGTCACGCACTCCAGAGGTTGCATGTTTAAGACCACACCTGTGCAGAGTTAGCTGATCTCAGCTGGGACAACAGGCCAGGCACTATATTCGGAGGGATTATGAGTCAAGATTCATCAATCTTGGACCATACATATGATTGATCAAAGCCCGTCACAACTGTGCCCTTCCATTTTGTAAAATATTTCAGCCGCTGGGACGAAATAAGTTGTGTGCCTGTGTTTCAAGTGTGATATATTAAGCTATATATTGATATATCTAAGATGTGGCTATTTCTAACGGAATTAATTCGTTAATAAGGAAACTGAAAATATGTGATAAGGAACTATGTCAAATGCAAGGATTGTTATACCGTATCACCCTAACCAGTGGGAACTCTGTTACCACATTATCTATTTTGGAGCAGAGTTCCTGCGGGTTGGCTATATATGCATGATCTTCGTCTGGTTACGTGAATGAGTCCAACTCGGTCTCTACATTAAGGAATCCCATTAGTAATTGTCACATATTAGTTTTTTTTACTCTTCCCATTATGATTTGTGTCATGATCTTAAGGGATCAAGGGGTCCACTTAAAGGATCTTCCTGAACCTTCTGAAGTCAATGGATGACTTCCATCCTTTTGTTAATCTTTGTCTCTATGGTTTAATTGAATGAGATGGCTGGGTGCAAGGATTTTTAGGAGACCATGGGTTTGGCATGAAACCATGACACACAACCATGCTTTATATCAGTCTCAAATACTAGCTGAGCAGGAAAACTGGCAGACAGAGAAGCTATAACAAAATTGTGTCTATGTATAATGCCAAATAACATTCATATATTTTTGTAATAAAACATTTTTTCATGCAGTATTGATCTGACAGACAAGGACAAAGTGAAAACGGACAATGTGAAAACTGACAAGGACATTTGTGAGCAGGAGCAAGTGGATGAAAGTCGCATTTCATTGCTAACCTGGAACATTGATGGACTAGACCAGAAAAACATACAAGAAAGAGCCCGAGCTGTTTGTTCCCTCATAGCGCTGTGAGTAAAGCCCTTTAAGCCATTCAGAATTGTCACAGTTAACTCTCTCAGGATAACTTGCAACAGTATTTATATTAAGACATTTTGAAGAAAAATATTTTTTTTGGTCATTTCTGTGATTGTAATCACTATATTTTCATTATATAAATTGATAATTTGTCACTCCAAGGGCTCAATGATGATTTATCCTGAGTGGCGAATTAGATATATGCATAAATAAATGAATAAATGTGGCTGGGATATTGACGGTTTGTTAATTTAAGTGGTAAGTGATGATGAGTTAAGACAGGGTTGAGTTATCAGGTGTTTACTGTATATAAAATTAAATAAATATATGAAAATGATGCTACACATTTAATTTATGTATCTATTTTTAATAAATATGTATAAAGTAAATGCGCAGCATCATTTTTCTGGTAAGTAATCTTCAGTTGTGGTCAATGATGTTATCAGACACCTCAGCTGAATTGAGTGAATATACACATTTACAGTGTCTAAACATTTGGCAGTTTGGCACATCATCCTTGAGTTCACATTTACATTGGTAAACCTCTGGCTCGTCAGTGGTGTTATCATGGTCATTTTTAATTGTTGCAAATTATAAACAATTTAAATTTTTCAACTCACAAGTGACATAGTGTTTAAATGCTTTAACGCTGATGGAGAAATATGAATAATATCTATATATCTAAATGTACAAGTTATATTTACAGTTGTTACATTCATGTTTTTTCTTGCCCACATGAAAGGTTCTTTCTGCACAGCTTCAGTTATTGGATTTGATTTTTATCTTTCTAAAATATGACTTTGCAGGAGGTTGGAGTGGTTTGGGGAATTATAGTCTGTGATAGTCTCTGTGATCCAGTGCTTTCATGTATTCAGTGGAATCAAATGAAGATTTTTACCTCACTCACTGGATGCCAGTGATTCACAGTAGCCTTCAACGTGGCTGTGTAGTTCTGATTAAGTTGTGTTTAACTTTTTTTTTAAAAGTCCTTACATTTGAAATAGAGCCTTTTACGTTGGGAGGATTCAAAGTAATCACATGATTTTGCTGTTAAGTGTAATGGCTGTGAATTTTGTAGACAAATGAGGCAGCCAGTTTGCGCACAGCGATGTCCCACAAACAGCCAAGGAGTGAGTGACCAAATTCGTTTGGGGGATGATTGGCCAGGACACCAGGAGAAACTCTTTGCTCTTTTCAAGCAGTGCCTTGGGATCTTTAACATCCACCTGAACAGGAAGGTGGGACCTTGGTTTTATGTCTCATGTGACGGACGGCACCTCTAACAGTATTGTACTGGAGTGTCAATTTAGACTGAGTTCAAAGTCCCAATGTGGGACTTGAACCCACAGCATTCTGACTAAGCAGCGAGAATACTGCCAACTCAGCCAGGCTGACATCTTCAATGACCTTTCAACCCCCTCCACCATTCCCTTTGATGATCACGACATCTTTCACAATTTTGCTAAACTTCACTTTGAATTCTACCTGCGCTCTATGGATGAAATCTTATAAATCAATCGCCAACTTATAAACTTAAAAGTGTAGGTTTCAGACGTTGTTAAAGAGCCAGCCAAGTGCTATTTGTGTTAAGAATGTCCTGTTCAACTTTCCGGGCTTGTCCCAAAGATTGAGGGACTCACATCCCTGATGCTGTGGAAGGATCATGTGGGAAACAAGCACAGTACGGTACAATTTACTGTAAGGTGATGAGTTGAAGGGTAAATACAGTACAGTTTATCCTTCAACTCACCACCACTAGATGGTGCCTAGAGAACAGCTGTAGTGCATTTACTCTGCTCAAGTCTTTGCTTGTAGTGTACATTTAGCAGTGAGATTGCTGCCCAAATCATGGTGATTTACCAGTTAAAGTCTAGTGTTAAAGCAGTGGTAGTATGCAACACCAACACACCAGCTCCAACCTCAGTCATATTGTTATAAATTACACGATGAAAATTTAAGACTCATTTTCATTAAGGTTCATTTTCATCAATGCTTTCTTTGTTTCTTTAAACTTAAGGTATACCCCAGACATAGTGTTTCTGCAAGAAGTTATTCCACCTTATTACAATTATTTGAAGAAACGAGCTGTGAGCTACACAATTATTCCAGGTACAAAACAAATTATAGGATACTTGTTCAATGTTTTAAGAAGTGCAGTATCTGTGTCTCGATAGAAACTATTCTGAGGCTATCCTACTTGGCTCCTGTCAGTGTTTTCCCACTTCCACCTCGTGTGGCCGGTACAGAGCTTTGGCGCTTTGTTTGACTCTTCCTCTGAGAGGCTGGTGGTCAGGGTCAGGCTGTGTGTGGGGGTCGCTGTGGGTAGTGGAGGGGTTGACGGATGGTGTGAAGCTGGGAATAGAAAGCCAGTGTATGATGTCCCCCCCACCCCCACAGGCCGGAGACAGAACCCTCATCACATCACAGGACCCCCAGCTCCCCCCAGGCTATCTGACTGTGACTGTCTGTCAGTGGAGTCCTGTAGCTCAGTGGTTAGAGCACTCGCTTCGCAAGCGAGAGACCTGAGTTCAATTCCAGGCAGGGCGAAACCTTGGGCAAGTTTCCTTACTCCACACAGAGCCTAATAATAATCCCTCCAAAAACAAAAACAATAATAAAATTGGTCATTTTCAATCTACGACTGTTTGTGGGACACTGCTGTGCGCAATTGGCTGCTGCGTTCGCCCACAAATATACAGTCAATTCACTTTACAGACTATTCTGTGAAGTGCTTTGGGACGTCTAGAAGACGTGAAAAACGCTATATCAAATGCAAGGATTATTATTATTATTATTCCAGGCTCTGACCAAGTCTGCTGTCCTCCATCTCTGCAACATTGCTCACCCACCTCAACCTGACAAACCCTCATCTATTTCCTTTGACTCTTCAGATTCGATTTCTCCAATCTAAATAGTGCTGCTGCAGCCTCCCTTGCCCTACCTTTCATAAGCTTCCAAACATCCAGAGCTCTGTGATGTGCCTTCCTTCCCGCAACAAGCACTTACTTCAGCAGATCAATTAAGTTAATCCTCAACATCAAATGCCTCCATAACCTTGCCTCACCTACCTCTGCAATCCTCTGTGTTCCTACTCCTTCGCTTGTCCCATCTGCTTTGTCGGGTCCTGACCCAACTGTACAGCGCCTTGGGACGTCCTCCCGACGTGAAAGGCGCACAATAAATGGAATCTTGTTGTTGTTGTTGCTTTGTCATCTCTGGTCTCCTTCATATCCCCTACCTGCTCCTCTGTACAATCGGTAGGCGAACTTTCAACCACTTTGGCCCACTCCTTGAAACTTACAAAATCCCTCTACCTTGCTCCCTCTTTCTGCTTTCAACCCCTCACCCCCCAAAAAAAATACCTACCTCTTTGAGATTGTCTTTGACCATCTTTCCCTTATCCTCTTTGCCTCCAGCTCAGGCTCCTATTCAGATTTTGTAAAGTACTATGAGATATTATCCAACATCATATGTTCCATATAAATGCAAGCCGTTGTTGTTATAATCAGTGTTGTTATTGGTGCACTACAAAATGGTCAGTGACTTTTTGTAATTTGTACTATCCATTTTCCTTACTTATAGATGATATTTTCCTTTTTAACCAGATCAATGTGAGAGGAAATTGGTTTATTGATGTAAGTCATCTGTGCTGAACTGTTAATATTTTAAGAATTTGAATGGAGAGACTGACCGACGAATGGCCTGAAATTGCTGTTATGTTTCAACAACCCAGTTGTAATCATGCTTCTAGTTGTTTCGAGAAGGCATTGCCATAAAGGTAGAGCTGAATTGTGGTAGCCACAGTATTATAAACTGACTAAACTACAGTATCAATGTATTATTGTTGCGTTGGGCAAATGGTGTAGGGAGTTTGCATTGCTAATCTACTGTTGAAAGAGTGAATGGAGGGAGAACACGGTTGGATGGAAACTGAGACCAGAGGAAAAATGTGAACTGAAGCAGTTCAGTTATTGTTTTGTTTGTTTCAATAGATAAAAGATTTGGTATTAACCATCAACTGACAACTATAACCACATGATAGTGGTGAATCATAATCTCTCTACAAATAATTTCAATAAAGGATGACGCTCACTTTTCAGATTTCTTCCTCTTTTGTTGACAAAGATTCAAAGGTTGAAACCTAACAATTATGGAACTAAATCTATTTTGAGAGGATTTAGACCCAGTATAAACATCTCCATCCCAGAAAATTCCGGAGAAAGTCCAAAAAATGTGCTGTCAATTAATACCCCCCGCACCCACCCTGGCCAATTGAATGCTTTGACTGAATCCCAAATCATCCAATGCAGATTTTTTGGGGTCAACCAGGTGTCTGACACAAATACCATCACCATGCTTAAGAGAATCCAAACCAAGTTGAGAATTCCACATGAATCACACCTTTCCCTGTGTCTGGGATGGAATGCACATTCTCTCCCTGGAGGGACGCATCCTGCTTACCTAATTGCAGAAGGTATTAGGTGCAGGTTGGCAAGAGCCAAGGCTTGGGAACTCCAGAGAGAAGATCATCATCAAATGTGCTGTGATGTTGGATATGAAATCTAACCTTGCCTAATTGATGAGAGGCCACATGGAATCGAGTATTCACATAATACGAGGAAAATCTGGAAGAGTGAGAGGCAAGACATGGGCTATTCACTTACATATTTATTTAGCAACAAAATTCTAAATGCATCTCTTGTTTTCTCTGCTTAGCGGATGAGGAGGGCTACTATACGGCAATAATGCTGAAAAAGTCCCGTGTGAAGCTGCTGAAACAAGAAATAACACCTTTCCTAAGCACCTCTATGGAAAGAAATCTCCTCATTGTGCAGGTAGGAAGGATCAAAATGGATAAGACTAATTCTTGCAGTTGTTAGAGGAACCATAATGCTGAGCATCTCACAGCACTTCAGAGATAATTGCTACGAAGTGAAGTTACCAGGTATCTGTTTTCTTGTACTGTTTCAACTTCTTAAAAATATTTTTTATTATCTTTCAATACTGCATTTTGGTAATTGTTGCTTTCTTTTTCTGTTGTCATTGTTTTATATTGCTGATCCCCAACCCACCCAATTCTTCTCGTCGTCCCCCACCCTTCCATAAATTGGTCATTCATACACTTAATGACTTGGCTATGGCATTTGCCCACCAAATACACAATCGCTAGACTCTCCAGTAAATCTAGAGAAGTACAGATGTTACAACAATGTGATAAGGTTGTTGCAATGTCACTTCCTGTGCGCTGCACAAGCACAGGGCGCAGGAAATGATGATGACTTCAGTAGCTGAAAGTTGGCCATTTTCTGCACAGGACTGGCCATTTGTGCCAGAAGCAAATCTGAGTTCTAATCAATTGCATTATGGTGGGGTTCTACTGTGTTTCCATCGAGCTGTGGTATTCTTTGTGAGGGGCAAAATTATCACAAACACCAGGAAGTATTTTTTTTAGACAAATGATATTTAATAGCTGGAACGAGTTACCAAGAAGAGGCTAGGACGCTGGCCTCATTTAAGAGTGATAATGTAATGGGAAGATAGTAGTATGGTTATTCTGGAAGGATGAGATCAAATAGGCCAATAGATCTTATTCATATGAACTTTGTTTGTTATACTGGGAGTCAGTGTTGCAGACATGTGGTAATCATGTATGTTTCTATTCCAGGTGAACATTGCAGGGAATGAGCTCTGTTTAATGACTTCGCACCTGGAGAGCACTAAGGACCATTCTAGGGAGCGGGTCCGACAACTGCAAACTGTGATGAAAAAGATGCAAGATGCAGCGGAAACTGCAACGGTGATCTTTGGAGGCGACACAAACCTAAGGGACCATGAGGTGAGTTTTGCAAAAGGTGTGAAAATCTGACTTGAGAACATAGGAACGAAAGAACCCTTGGAGCCTGTTCTGCCACGAAGTCTGGGACAGCCCCTTAATTCCATTTCCCTGCCTTTGTCCATATGAAAAATGCCACATTTCACAGCAAATCTGATCATATTGAATCTGTAAAGAAACGGAAGAAATTCAGCCAATTGACTGTTTTTCATGGCTCTGTCCTTGACTGGTTCAGATCGTTCCTCTCACACCGCCTCCACTTCATCTCCACAAAAGGCTTCTCCTCCAGTTCCCACACAGTCTCAAGCAGCATTCCTCAGGGTTCTGTCCTTGGTTCCCTCCTCTTCAATATCTATATACTGCCTCTTGGTGACATCATCCGCAGACACAGGGTCAACTTCCACATGTATGCAGATGACACCCAACTCTACTTCTCTGCCTCCACCCTTGACTCCAGGACCACTGCTGTCCTGACAGAATGTCTCTGACATCAAGTCCTGAATGAGAGCTAACTTTCTTCAGTTGAACGTCAGCAAGACTGAGACTCTCCTGATTGGCTCCTGTCAACACCTCCTCACCTCAGGCGCTGACAGCATCACCATCCATGGTTGCACACTCCACCTTGCTAAGCCAGTCTGGAATCTTGGGGTCTTGTTTGACCCTCAACTATCCTTTCTACCCCACATCTGTGCCATGGCCCACTCTGCCTTCCCCACCTCCGCAACATTGCCCGGCTCCGCCACTGTCTCACACCGCAGGCTGCTGAAGCCCTCATACATGCTTCTTCAAGTTACAGTTCAAGATCCTGGTCCTCATCTTCAAAGCCCTCCACGGACTTGCTCCCCCTATCTCTGCAACTTCCATTTTGATGCCTAACAGACACATACTCTCCCAAAACCATTCACAACTCGCTCTGATAACACACTCAGGTTCCTACCTTCCATTGTTAGGAGCTCTTATTTTACCCACCATTGCCTCGGAAGGAAAGGGTCACTTTTCTACTGTCTGGATTTAATGTGTAAGACATGAGCAAGATGAAATTCAGAACAGACAGTTCTGAGTTTCATTATGCAACAAAACAGGCAGAACTCACTGAGTATGAACGTTTGGCAGAAAGGGTCAAAGGACGGTTGTGATTCCACCAGGTTTAGTGGAGACTCATTCCTGTTTATGGCATGGACACATGGTAGAGTAGGATGGACATTAAGTAAACATTTCCCCTTGGCTGTTCCTCAACTGCAAGATAGCCACATGCGAAGCATCAGCATACATTCACAAAATCCAGTGTTTGAGTCTGAAATGCTATGACACTGTTGTGGTACAAACTGGCTTCATTCAGCCTTCAGGTTCCCACAACCCACATGACTCAAATACCCAGTCAGATGTGCAAAGCATTTTGGGGTGTTCTCTTCTCCAGATGTGAAAGGCACTGTATAATAGTAAATTGTGTTACTGCATTGTGTCTTCCACCTCCACACACAGGAAGCAGCCATCGAGGTGGGAAATTCTAGAATTCTCTATTGATATCTTAGTCTGGGAAGAGTATGTGTGTCGAGGGGAGATTCAGGATTGGCTATGATGCCTTTCACAGTCTAATGTGATGACACGCACTGTTTGAAGTGACACATGAAGAATGGCCACTTAGACCAGATACCTTGGAGCTGGTAGGAAATTCGGGGCAAACTAAAAGAAGGGTAATTATTGAAGAGCATGGTTTTATTTCTATTCTCACTACGATCTCTCCTCACAGGTGACAAAACTTGGAGGTTTAAAAGCTGGGATTTCAGATGTCTGGGAATACCTAGGAAAACCAGAATACTGTCAGTATACGTGGGATACACAAAACAACAACAATCTGGAGGCTTGTTACAAGTGCAGGCTTCGGTTTGACCGCGTGTTTTTCAGGGCTGGGACCGAGACTCAGATCATCCCACAGCAAATGGAGCTCGTAGGATTGGACAAGTTGGAATGTGGAAGGTTCCCTAGCGATCACTGGGGCATCCTGTGTGACTTTGATGTGATATTGTGAGATGGCAATTTTAAGGTGAAAAGTAAAGTCGTAAAGCCTATTGTACTTGAAAATATTGATGTAAAATTACAATTTGAGGAAATAATTCAGGGTTCGGTCTATCTCGGTGTATCAGGTTTGATGTCCCGTCAGGTTTAATAGTTTAAAAATGCTTGGGTTGATATCAAAATATTCCTTCACGCATTCTGTTCATTATTTAAGGAATGTACTAAGATATATTTTTAAATGCTCCTCATCTGACTTCTAAACAATGGGAGGTGTCCAAATCTTCCTGAGAAGCTAAGGCTGCTGCCATTTTGGCTTCCTACTTAAAAGGATGTTTTTTGAGAGCCAAAAATGGCCTTTTCGCTCTTATTCAGCAGATACTAGGCTCACTCAGATTACTGGGTGTTGGGCTCTCAGATGATTTGACTAGCTATTGAACAAACACAAATTACTGATTAGATACTGGACAAACTCAGATTACTGACTTTGGATACATTGATCATACAGATTATTCATAGGATGCTGGTCTGGGCATGGACCAACATCTCTCCAATAATTCCAAATGGCTGTTTTCAGAACTTGAAAGTGCTCCTCCCTAAGGGGATGACATGCGGGGCTTGGGCACCATCATTATTTAGAAGTCGGGTGAGGAGTATTTTAAAACACATTTAATGACAGAAGTCCCTTAAATAAGAAATGAAATGTGTTTCAGAGTAATGCAATGTTGTCTCCACCGTGCCTTTGATTGGCTCAAATCGGTAATCTCTGGCACACTGGCTCATTTTATAATAATTAACCTTGGTTTAACTCCATATCACGTCATCGAGATGTCTCAAAGAGCTGCACATGATATACTATAAAGTAGTGTGACTGGTTATTTTGTAGGCAAAAGGTTGGGGTTTAAGGTGACATTGTGGGGACAGAGTGAAGGGAGCTTTATTCCCCAGCTGTCTGCTACACCTGATCTGGGAGTGCTTGATGCTGATAATGGGTTCCTGAATTGGAAAAGATGTTTCCATTTCTCAGCATTAACATTGTTCCCGCTCAAGAATATAGAACGTTTTATAATAACACATCCTTTGGTCATTGTCTTCTACTTCTTTACCTGTGTGACTGTAGATATCTTGGAATTACGGGAAAAGCGTGGAAATATTTGTGTATTTTTTAAAACAGAATGTCCAAAGTTCCAAGACATCTGCAGTCCCAATAAAGCCCAGTTGTTGCCTTGAAAATAAGTGGGAAAATAGGATATTTTCGTTCTATCTCTTCCTCCCTAACTCCAGTGTTTCAGTACATTTAACAATAAAGCTTACAGTTGGTCTGCCTGTATATTTTAAGTAAAGTTCTATTGAGCATTGAAAATAAAGGTGATATCAATTTCCTAATAAAAAAAGATCAATTTTATTCTTTCCCAATATGAGTTGCTAACTTTTGCTGTGGAGTGTTGGTGTACTGAGGTACAAAGGCTGCAGTCCAGAAGATTATGGAATCAATTCCCCAACCCCCACCCCCCCCCACCACCCCGGCCTTGCTGCACTGATTTCCTGATCTTCGCTCTATTGCTGTGGAAAGTAGAAGTTGGAGGAGAATTTCTGTGGGCTGAAATTCCATGCGCCCAGGCAGTACGTTGGCAAGTGTAAAAGGGACAAGGTTATCACAGCCTCTTAAGAGAGCATGTTATCTCGGGTCTCTTAAGAGAAAATCCACCATCTTGAACACTGTCCAGCTAGGATCACCCTACCTATTGGGGCTTCAGCTTGCAGGATTAACAACAACAATTTACACTTGTATAGCGCCCTGCATGTTAGAAAGACGTCCCATGGCACTGGACAATTGGGTTTTGGACCCAAGCTGGGATTGGGGTCAGAAAGGTAGGGCGGTGGGGGTGGTAGACTTGCCAAAGGCATGGTGGAAGAGGAAGGTCTTCAGAGGGTTCTTGAAGGAGCCAAGAGAGTAGGTGAGGTGGAGGGATTGCGGGATAGAGTTCCAGAGCGTGGGGGCAGAGATGCTGAATGCTTGACCACCAATGGGAACTGAAACAGGCCAGTGTCTGCCAAACAGAGGAAGTGAACAGGCTGATACAAGGTTATGAGGTTGGAGAGGTGGTGGGGGGGGAGCAAGACCATGGAGGGCTTTGAAGGTAGGAATGAATGTTTCATACTGTGGAAAGGTGGAATGGGTCATGGCACAAATGTGGGGTTTGAACGATAGATGAGAGTCGAAAAAGACACTGAGGTTTCAGATTGGCTCAGTTCGGTGAAGAGTGCAGCCACGAATGGTGATAGTGTCAGCAGCTTGAGGTGAGGAGGCGCTGCCGGGAGCCAAGCAGGACTCCTTGCTATTTAACCGGAGCTGAGTGGGAAGAATCCCTGTACCCCCTGACTGGTTAGCCCTTCCAAGTCCCGCTGATGAGCCAGGATGGTTGCGCTGTCATCAGCAGTGGCCTGGAATACTGCGGACCCGCCTGGCTCAGGAGCCAGACTCCCGAGACCGCCACAGAGGCCTGGCTCGAGTCCGACATTCCATTGCCAAGCGTGACACCTCATCTTCAAAGAGACCCCACTTACCTCTCCCCCAAGGAGAATAGTCACTAGTTATTTGACAAAATTATGAAATGTTGCAAATTTCACCTTATTGTTGCAGAATGGTGCTGCCCACGTTCTCACTTATGGTCTCGTACATACATTGGGCTCCCAAACAAACCTTATAACTGAGGAATCAGATGAAGGATCAAGTCCCGTTGAACCCTGATCTCTATCCAACCCCCCACCACCCCCATTTTATTCCTGCCTTCCAAACCGTCGTATTGTCTATTTAATCCCAACTTTGGTCAACATCCTCAACCCTCCCTTCTTGGCGATCTCATACTCTCTGTGAAGCACTTTCAAGGCATTATCCTATGTGGAATTTGGCTGTGCATTTCAAACAGTTGTTGCATTTAACCAATGAAAGGGATCACTGGTGAGTCTGTCTGCTTTATATTGGATGTTTAATTGCACAGTGTGTTTTAAGGACACCGGTAAGTATAATAATAATCCTCGCATCTGATATAGCGCCTTATCACATTATCGAGACATCTCAAAGTGCTTCACGGGATTGTATTGCAAAGTGGAATGAGTGTCTGTCTGTCTGTGTCTGAGACACATATCCAGTGAGAGCGACCGAACAACATCATGTGTGGAGGCGACCAGGACTCCAGAGTGCCTTTATCTCCCCACCCAGCAGTGAGAGCAGTGTGTGTGGTGTGGGTGGGTGGGTGGGTGGTGTGGTGGGTGGGTGTGGTGTGTGTGGGTGGGTGGTGGGTGGGTGTGGTGTGTGTGGGTAGTGGTGGTGTGTGTGTGTGTGTGTGTGTGTGTTTGGAGCAGATGCAGTGAGATCACACTTATTGGACAAACAGAAATGCGCGATGCGCTCACATCCATCCCCCAGAGCCAGACTCTCCCTGTGCTCTGTGCACCAGAGGCTGATGCACACACACACACACACACACACACAGCGGCTGCTTGGCGTGGCTTGGCTTGGCGTGGCTTGGCTTGGCTTGGCGTGGCTTGGCTTGGCTTGGCTTGGCGTGGCTTGGCTTGGCTTGGCTTGGTTGCACTCGGGGCTTTCACAGATGACTGAAGACGGCAGGTGGAGGATGCACAGTGCGCGGGGAGGTGATGGGGAGGTGATGGGGAGGTGGTGGTGGGGCGAAGCGATGTCTCTGCCGATTCATTGAGAGCTGAAAGGCCGCCCCCTGTGAGAGAGGCAGAGAGAGAGAGAGAGAGGGAGAGAGAGACCGGCGAGTGTCTGTGGCTGCACAGGTAAGAGACTCGAGCCCGTCCCATCAGAGCATCCATCCACCTCCTGACTGAAGCATCCTTCACTGCTGCGGTGTTGTTTGGTTTGCACGTCGATGTATGCAATGGATGGACGCAGCTGTATGTGTGTGTGTGTGTGTGTGTGCAAGAGCTGGACTTGTTCCCTCACCAGACTCTTGCAGAGTCAGTGTCAGCCTATTTCTGCATCTCTTGTTAGATGAGCGGATTAAGTGCCAATGGTTGGGTAGGTGGCAATGGGAGCAAGTCAGGTTGGATAATGATAAATCGTGGAGAATAATAATAATAATAATAATAATAATAATCCTTGCATTTGATATAGCGCTTTCCACGTCTTCCAGACGTCCCAAAGCGCTTCGCAGAATATACGGTAAAGCGAATTGACTGTATATCTGTGGGCGAACGCGGCAGCCAATTGTCCCACAAACAGTCATGGATTGAAGATGACCAATTTATGATTGGGTTTTTTTTGTTTTGGAGGGATTATTATTAGGCGTGTGGAGTAAGGAAACTTGCCCAAGGTTTCGCCCCTCCTGGAATTGAACTCAGGTCTCTCACTTGCAAAGCGAGTGCTCTAACCATTGAGCTACAGGACTCCCGACTTGGAAAAGCCTCATCCCCAGCAAGTCAGGGCCACTGACTGAGATCTCAGCTCTCTGTGCAGGGAGCTTGTCTCACACACATTGAGTTTAATAAACAGAGAGATTGGTTCGCTTGTGCGACCTGTTGGTCAGGAGGAGCATTTCCTATTTCATGTGCGCACCAGCCACACAAAAGGGTCAGTCACTGAACCTCTGGATCACTTCCCAGTATTAAACCCAACCCAAGAGGCAGGCTGACTTGCAGTTTACTCGGATCTAACCAACACACAGCAGCCTGATTCGATGGTCTTGTATCAGCCCAGTTCATTCAACTGGAGCTAACGGGAGAAAACTCGTTCAAATGCAAAACAAAAGCCAGCAAGAGAGTGGGAGAAATGAACATAGCAGATCCAAAGACTTGAGGATTAACACAAATCAAATCACCTCTCCTGTCTCTATATCTGCGCACAGAACAATAGTTTGCAGAAGAATATTTTGACTTAATAATAATAATCCTTGTATTTCATTTGGCGCCTTATCACGTGGTTTAGAAGTCTCAAAGCGCTTCACAGGATATATTGTGAAGTGAATTGACTGTATTTTATAGGCGAAACTTTGAGTGTTTTTTTTCCGTAAGTACGGAGCTGGCTGGAATGGGAAGCGTTCTTATTATGGCAACAACAAACAACAATAAATTGCATTATTTAGTGGCTTTCACATCAGAAGGACGTCCCCCAAGGTGGGGGCTAGATTCAAGAAAGGTGGAGGGCAAGGGGTGGAGGTGGGAGGATAACTGAAGACACAGATTCGCTGCTACATCAGATTTACAAGCTGTAAAAGATTTTTAAAGGCACAACAGTGCAGCTGGGCTGTGAAAAACATGTAGCGAGAGTTTTACATAAATTTGAAACAGAACCTTTCAGACCCCTTCCCCCACCTGAGACTGTATTACATCAGAGTCTTGGGACGTCCTCTTAACATGAAAAGCGTTATTACAAATATAATTTGTTGTTGTTACAACAGGGTCAGCCAGGCTGGAAGAGAATCGAGGTAATTTAGTTTGCAGTAAATGTGGCTTGTTGGTTGATATTACAAGACTTTGTGATTCTAGATCAATGTTTCTCAACCTTCCTGATATTAGGGATCAGCTCAGTTTTATCTACAAACGTGGTGGACCATTCGTAAAAGAACCGGTCATGTCACTAAACTAAAGAGTGTTATGGTATGGACCGCCTCTGAGGTTATCATAGATTAGTTTCTGTTCTTGGACTGGCTGTTGAAGAGCCCTGTGCTCGCTGCACATAGAGGTTTTCATATGGACAGATTTAGCTACTGTTATTCCCAAAAGGTTTTGTTAGTCATACTGCAAGTAAATATGAACTGATAGAAGCCTCCTGCTTCTCCTGTGTGAATTATGGTACAATGTCTGGGAGAAGCACAGGGAACTCATCTGTGTGACTAATATATTCCAGAATTGCCAAGCAATTGCCAAGCTTACTGCTTTACCTTTCCCTTGAACTTTTTTTTATATTCTGAGGCTTCATCTGATTTTCACTTTCAACACAAGTCCAGGTACACAGAGACCAGTTGTAGTCCAACTGTGGGTTGGACTACAACTGGTTACACTACACTGTTTTCCAAGCACAAAGCAGTTGTGAAGTCTCCACCTCAGTGGTGATTTCTCTATCTTACTCGTAGGGTAAGCTGAAAAATCCCTGACATGAAAGGAGCTATACACATGAAATTTGGTATTGTATTGTGTCCCTGGCAGCAGAGGAAGCCTCAATTGGAAGAGAAGAAAAATTGTTTTGCTTCCCACCCCCCTAAAAACAATTCTCAACCCCCTAAAAACAGCCTGAAAAAACCTTCCCTGGACCCATCCCTCCTCTCCATCTCTAATCTCACATTCCTCTCCAAGGTCCTAGAATGAGTCGTCGGGTCCCAGCTCCGCTCCTTTCTTTCTCGCTATTCTTTCTTTGAACCCCTCCAATCCGGCTTCCGCGCT